AGGGAGGCACAGGTATATGGTGGCTATATTTAAACCTGGACCTATATAGCCAATTTTCAAAAAAAAAAAAAAAATAAATAAATAAATAAAATAAAAGAAATAAATAAATCCCCTCACACTCGTAGAGCAAATTTTTGCTCTATTTTTGGCGCGATTCTACTCCCACTCAAATATTCATACATCAGTGACTCGGTTGTGTTCTCACGCAAAAGAAATGAGTGAAGAGTGGACTCCGTAAAAAAACTCGCACCCTTTAAGCAATCGCGAGCAAGTTTCGCTTCCGAGTAAAAAAGCAAATCTGTGTCCTGCACATTATACATATGAAGGTCAAAAGATACAAGATGTTAATAACCAATACAGCAACATAGGGTCTAAATACGTCTCTTTGGACCAAATCCGTTTAAGGACATTTGGAGTCGATCTAGCGATGTCCGTCTGTCTGTCTCCCGAAGGAAGTATCCGATTTGATCCCAATTTGGTACATCGTAATATAATTGTCAAACATAGATTGAGTTCGGAGATGGACAATATCGGTCCACTTCTTCTGGTACCTTCCCCACAAAATTTCAACAGTTTTAAAGATACTAATTTACTGTGCAGAAAGAGAAAGAATAATCCGATTTTGCTCCAACTTGTGCTACATCAGCTGCGAAAATTGACAATATCGGTCAACTCCATTAAGTACCTCCCGCCACAAAAAGTCAAAGTTTTGAATAATTATAACTCTTATAAAATGTGATGTAAGAGTCCGATTGTCTTCAAATTTCATACATCACAATATTTTTATGAAACCAAGTTCTGGTGTGAAGATGAAATATATCGGTCCACTCCTTCTGATACCTCCCCCACAAAGGGTCAAAATTTTGAATATTCATGAAGCTCATAAAACACGAAATTAAAATCCGATTCCATTCAGATTTGGCAAATTTGAATATTTCTATCAACACAGGATCTGTTATAAAGGCGGTAGAGATCGGACCATTTCTTCTGGTACCTCCCCCACAAAGGGTCAAAATTTTGAATACCCAAAAACGTTCACAAAATCCGAAATAAGCATCAGATTATCTTTATATTTGACACATTCCTTTAATTCTACTAACACAAGATCTGTTGTGAAGATGGGATATATCGGTTTAATCCTTCTGGTACCACCCCCACAAAGGGTCATAATTTTGAATATCCATGAAAAAACGCGAAATTAACATCCGATTCCATTCAGACTTGGCACATTTCAATATTTCCATCAACACAAGGTTTGTTATAAAGATGGTCGAATTATTTTTTCCAGTACCTCCCCACATGAGGTTCAAGATTTTGAGAAACCATATTTAGGTCCGATATGAAATGGACAATATTGGCCCATTCCTTCGAAACCTATTCCAGTTAGGGTAAGCAATTTGAATAATCATAACAGAAGTCAAAATATATTTATATAATCGAACATTGGCTGAGGGTATACGTCTGTCGGTAGAACCGACTGATGCTGTTTAACTTGTTACGTGTTTAAATTAATCTTCAATATTTTTGAATTGAAGTTATATTTTTTTTAAATATTTCTAAAACTACTCAGATCTGACCTGATTTCTTGAATGGTAGTATTTTTGACTCCAGTACTAAATAAAATAAGTACAACTACAAAAATACGAAAAAAATAAATAAAAATAAACATAGCAAACAAAATAAACATAAATTCGGCTCGTTAGTCTGTTTTTTTTAGCTTTTGTGCAATTTTTTTTATTTATTTATGTTAATTCCTAACACCGTTTAACGGCTGAATAAACCTGGTAAATAGTACAATTGTGTGTACATAACTAAATGGCTGCATGAATGGCAAATACATACACGCATACATACGTACGTACTTATGTTGACAGATTTTCTAAAGTTTCCAAAATGTTCATAAGTGAGCAGATTTCGTAGCGGGTACAAATTATGTCGTTTAGGTAATGTTTGCCAAAATAATAGACCCCCTCAGAAATAGCCAAAATATATCAAGACTCCATTTCCAGCCCCTAAATAATAAAAATCATTGGAAAAAAAATGTGCAGTTAACTCAACCCAGTAAATTTTGTTAATTTCGAAATCTCCTCTTTGCTATGTTTCTATTTTCTATACGCACATTTTGAAGATGATACTAGCAGGACAAAATAAAAATTCACTTTTTGGCAAATGATGGACAAACTGTCAGCATAAGACGAAAAACTACTTTCAGCTGAAGCACCGTTTTTTGCAATATTTACTCAGTCGTGGAAAAGGGAGAGAAATTAAAAGGAAAATCTGCGACTTTGCAAAAGGGTGTCTCGCCAATGGGATGACAAATTGGATAGATGCAATTGAAATTTTAAACAAGTTATAAAGTATCAGCCGGGTAGATAGATGTATACCCTCAGCCAATGTTCGATTATTGAAATATATTTTGACTTCTGTTATAATTATTCAAATTGTTGACCCTCTATGGAGTAGGTTCCGAAGTAATGGGCCAATATTGTCCATTTCGTATCGGACCTAAATAAATAGGATATAAATGTTGTGACATGACAGGTTTGGACTATATCGAGTACTTTCTTGACTTTATAAGAGATATGGGATAATTATTAGAAAATATTAATATGTGCGTGAGTTACCAGATATCGTCGACCGAAGTATTCCATTTTCATACTTCATCTAATACAGATCAAAATATTGGTATGGGCAAAATTACAAGAAAATCGAACATTTATATCCTATTTTATGCGAAATCATAAATTCCATATTCATCACAGGTTTCCCGGTAAAGAGAGACACATTTAGAATATCAAAATGTGGAGAATCGCTGACTTGTTTCGCAAGTTATGACAGATAAAAGTTTTGAAAATTGTGACCCTTTGTGGGTTAGTTAGCCGAATGGGTTCGCAGACATATATCATTCTTAGAACAGATTCTGTTTTAGCAAAAATGTTCCTATGTGTGAAATTTGGAGGGAGTTGGATGCTATTTCGCTTTCGTTGAGCATTTTTTTTTATAAAATCTTGAATGCTATGTGGGGGAGGTACCGAAATGGTCCAATCTCTACCATCATTATAGCAGATCTTCGCTTGATGGAAATATTGAGATGTACCAAGTCTGAATGGAATCGGATGTTAATTTCTCGTTTTATGAGCTTCATGGATATTCACAATTGTGACCCTTTGTGGGGGTGGTACCAGAAGGAATGGTCCGATCTTTACCACCATTGCAACACATCTTGAGTTAATAGAAATATAGAGGTGTGCTAAGTCTGTATGGAATCGTATATTAATTTCGCGTTTCATGAGCTTCATGGATATTCGCAATGTTGACCCTTTGTGGGGGAGGTTCCAGAAAGAGTGGACCGATATATTCCATCTTCACAGCAGATCTTAAGTTGATGGTAATATTGAGATGTACAAAGTCTGAATGAAATCGAATGTTATTTTCACGTTTTATGAGGTTCATGGTTTTTCAAAACTTGGACCCTCTTTGAGGTAGGTACTAATTTGAAGACAATCGGACTCTTATATCACATTTTATGAGAGGTATAAACATTCAAAATGTTGACCTTTTGAGGGGGAGGTACCAGAATGGATGGGCTGATATATCCCATCCTCACAGCAGATCCTGTGTTAGTAGAAATAGTGGGATGTGTGAAATATGAAGAGAACTGGATGCTTATTTCGGATTTTATGATCGATTTTTTCAATACTTTGACCCTCTTTGGGCAGGTACCAGAAGGAATGGTCCGATCTCCACCATCTTTATAACCGATCTTGAGATGATTGAAATATTGAGATATTCTATGTCTGTATGGAATCGGATATTAATTTGGCGTTTCAAGAGCTTTATGTATATTTAAAATTTTGACCCTATTTGGGGGAGGTATCAGAACCTATTGACCCTATTTGGGGGAGGTATTGTGATGCGAATAATTTGAAGACAAACGGACTCTTACATCACATTTTATAAAAAGAATAATTATTCAAAAATTTGACCCTTTATGGGGAAGGTACTTGATGGAGTGGACCGATATTGTCTATTTTCACACCTGACCTAGCACTGACGCAAATATTAGGATTTGCAAAGTTGGAGCAAAATCGGATTATCCTTTCTCATTTTGTGCAGTAAATTATTATCTTTAAAAATGTTGACCTTTTGTGGGGTAGGTACCAGAAGGAGTGAACCGATATTGCCCTTCACCGAACTCGATCTGTATTTAATAATAATATTACGATGTACCAAGTTTAGACAAAATCGGGTACTCCCTTCGAGTTATCGTGCGCACCAGCCAGACAGACCGACGGACGGACATCGCTAGCTCGACTCCAAATGTCCTAAAATGGATTTGGTCCAAAGAGACCTAGATTCTAAAGCCGTTATTTCGATGAGGCACGTTTTTATCGTATCAAATGATATATGCCCTCTGCAGCCATATGGTTGAGGGTTTAAAAATCGAACAGAGATTTATGAGAGCATGGTGAAAAAGGTATTAACGAATTTCCAAATTAAAATTTTTTGCAATTTTTGGGCCGTTTTTTAATGGATATATCGAACCTGAATTCGATGACATTTGTTTTAGGAACATTTTCCAAAATCGTATAAACTTATATTCCAACTTTGAGTGGCGCCCAACGACATTTCATCTTCTTCTTGTTCTCCCTATTATTTTTACATGAAATAAAAACAAATGCCCTACCATTCCTCTGTTTTTCTGGGCACTGTTCTCTCAAGTACAAAAATTGCATAAATTTGCAGTAAAGATAAATTTTTGCCAGAGCAGCTTTCCTTTCTTACTTCACCATTTTTGGTTTGTTTTTTTTTGTTCTCTCGTTTCGAGGATAACCGACAAAGAAGACAGTGGCTGACTGACATTGCAGCAGTGACTACCACCCCTGCTTTGGCGGTAGCTTGCATCCATCTCTGGCTACTGGGAACGGCAAAAACAACAACAACGACGACGACACAAAGCATAAACAGAATTCAGGAAATGATGAACATGATTAACTTACTAGGTCCATCCAAATGATTGCTGCCTGTCAGACCGAGTGCTGAAAATTCTGATGGCTGTAATTTCATTTCCATCTCTTTAAGGCGACTGTTGAGTTTATTTGTGTGCATGAATAAGAAAAATGTGCAGGATATGGCCAGTAAGGCAATCAGTTCAACGGATCTGCAAAAAAAGAAAAACAAGAAGAAGACGAGAGGATGTTAAAAAAAGTACAAAAATTGGAAACAAACAAAAAGTTGCTAGGAAAACAAAGAGAAAATTTCAGATTTTTAAATTGTTCAAATGTGATTTTAATTTTGATGGATGTGGTATGATGGAGGTTCTCTAGTTTTTGATGGTGATGGGAAATTGAATCAGTGACTTATAGAAAATTGGGGATATTCGATTGTTTTATTAAAAGTATAAAAAATGAGGTAGAATTTTTTCTATTCTAAGATTAAACGAATCGTATGTTAAAAGAAGCCTTCTCTGTGTCGAGGGGAGCTGCCAAAATTTGACCAGATATCCCCATATTTTATAATATCCTACACTTTACCCCCTGAAAAAGAATTGTCTATATAGGTCCACGATATCATGTAGCCCCCTGCAACGGTACCTCCCAATATTCGGTGTTCTGATAATTTTAGCGACATTATTCACCTGAGTTGTTTCAAATTTCGTATTTAGAGTTCGTAATGAATACTACAGCCTATGACAAAAAATTGTGTATGCAGATCCACGTCTTCGTATAGCCTCCATATAACGGTACATCCAAATATTTGGTATTTTTATGATTTTAGAGACATTATTCATAATTACCATTTGAAGTTTCTAATAGGTACTGCAGCCTATGACAAAAAATTGTCTATGCAGGTCCAAGAGTTCTCATAGCCTCCATATATCGAATCCTCCCGATATTCGGTATTTTGACGATTTTAGGCACAATATTTACCGAAATTGTTGCAAGTTCCTAAAGGGTAACAGAAAATTTACAGGAAATTTTGACCTAAAATTGCTCTTTCCCAGGTCCTGGTTTTCGTATAGCCCCTACATATCGGTACATCCTTAAATGCGGTATTTTGATGATTGTAGCTACATTATTCACCGAATTTTTTTTTTCAAGTTTCGTATTTGAATATTCTTATGGCCTATGGCAAATATTGCCTATGCAGGCCCACGTCTTCGTATAGACCCCAATATAACGGCTATATTCGGTATTTTAACAGAATTTTTAACGGATTCCATTTTTTTTTTTGAAAATTTCCAAATTATTTGCAAATGGTGGAGGGTATTCAAAGTTCGGCCCGGCCGAACTTACTGATTTTTTACTTGCCTATACCAAGAATGATCGAAAGGAAAGGCGTACTCTGTTTCAAGGAGAGCTCTCAACATTTTCGAGATTTTTCCAAACTTTTTCTGAATAACCATAAGCTCTCGAGGGTCTTTATGATTCCTATATATTTTCCCGAAGTATAATCGCAGTTACAAAATTATTCTTATCTATTCTAAGATAGGAAGAGTCGAATGTTTTTTTTTTAAACCTTCGTGTTAAGAAATGCTACCAAAATTTGGCGGGGTTTCTCCATATTTTTTCTGCACAACTCACTATATAGTTGAACCTTATGAAAGGTCCCTTTTGTATCAAAGAAAATTACCAATATTTGACAGGATTTTCCTTTATTTTTTTCACAAAAATCACGAGATCTTGAAGGTCCTAATGTAAAATTGAAAAGGTTTTTTTTATAATCGATTGAACTAGTTGAACGATTGAACTGTGTTAAGGAGCGTAAATCGTTAGCTCTTCACGGTCCTGTTGTCAAGATTTCATCATCTGTCTAATGTCTTATCGGAGCCCAATAATTATTATACCTTTAGTCAAATGCCTAGAGAGGGTATATATCATTTGATATATCAAAACGTACCTGATCGAAGTAACAGTCTTAGATCCTAGCGATGTCCATCCGTCTGGCTGGCTGGTGCGTTCTATAACACTCGAAGGGAGAATCCGATTTCGTGCAAACTTGGTACATCGAAATATTATTGGCACACTTAGATCGAGTTCGGAGATGGGCAGTATCGGTCCACTCCTTCTGGTACCTCCCCCACAAAAGATCGAAATTTAAAAAAAAAAAAAAATATTTTACTCCGCAGAAGGAGAAAGGATAACCCGATTATGTTACAAATTTGCCACTCGTAACATTTGCATCAGCGAAAATGGACAATATCGGTCCACTTCATCAAGCACCTCCTCCAAAAAGGGTCAACATTTGAATTATTGTAACTGTGATGTAAGAGTGAGATTATCTTCAAATTACACACATCGAAATATTTTTATTAACCCAAGGTTGGCGTGAAGATGGAATATATCGGTTCAGTCCTTCTGGTACCTCCCCACAAAGGGTCAAAATTTTAAATATATACATAAAGCTATTGAAACGCCAAATTAATATCCGATTCCATACAGACATAGCATATCTCAATATTTCAATCATCTCAAGATCGGTTATAATGATGGTGGAAATCGGACCATTCCTTATGGTCCTCCCCAAAGAGGGTTAAAGTATTGAAAAAATCGATCATAAAATCCGAAATAAGCATCCAGTTCTCTTCGTATTTCACACATCCCACTATTTCTACTAACACAAGATCTGCTGTGCAGATGGGATATATCAGCCCATCCATTCTGGTACCTCCCCCTCAAAGGGTCAAAATTTTGAATGATTATAACTCTTATAAAATGTGATGTACAACTCCGATTGTCTTCAAATTATACACATCACAATATTTATATTAACTCATGGTCTGGCGTGAAGCTAGAATATAACGGTAAACTTCTTCTAGTACCTCCCCCACAAAGGCTGAAATTTTTGTATATCCATGAAGCTCACAAAACGCGAAATTAACATCCGATTCCATTAAGACTTGGTAGATCTCAATATTTCCATCAAGACGAGATCTGTTATAATGATGGTAGAGATCGGACCATTTCGCCTGATACCTCCCCCACATAGCATTCAAGATTTTATAAAAAATGCTCAAAGAAAGCGAAATAGCATCCAACTCTCCCAAATTTTACACAAAGAAACATTTTTACAAAAACAGGATCTGTTCTAAGTATGATATATATCTGCGAACCCATTGGGCTAACTAACCCACAAAGGGTCACAATTTTCAAGGCTTTTATCTGTCATAACTTGCGAAACAAGTCAGCGATTCTTCAAATTTGTATATTCTAAATGTATCTCTTTTTGCCAGAAACCTGTGATGAATATGGAATTTATGATTTCGCATAAAATAGGATATAAATGTTCGATTTTCTTGTAATTTTGCCCATACCAATATTTTGATCTGTATTAGATGAAGTGTGAAAATGGAATACTTCGGTCGAGTATATCTGGTACCTTACAACATTTTCTAAAAAAAATTAACGCATATATCATATAAAGTGAAGGAAGTAGACGACATGGTCCAAACCTGGCACTTCGCAATATTTATATCATATTTATTTAGGTCCGATATGAAATGGACAATATTGGCCCTTTCCATCGGAACTTACTCCATAGAGGGTCAACAATTTGACTTCAATCATAACAGAAGTCAAAATATATTTAAATAATCGAACATTCGTTGAGGCTATACATCTGTCGACAAATTCGACTGATACTTTTTTTAAGATTGCACGAGTCGAACCTAAATAAAAGCCTCTGCTTTATTAAGGAGAACTACCAGGATATATATAAAGATTTACCCATATTTTTTTCTGCATAAAGTCACTTCCCTTCAGAGCTTCGAAAAGTTGACGGAAAATTTCCTGTACCTTTCCTGCAGAAATCACTAGGTTTTGAATTTAATTATTTTTCCACTTAAACTGGCAACGAATTTTTCTCTTAATCCTTTTGATTGCAAAAAAAATGTTTGTTGTGACTCTGAGTTTTAATTTTTAGTTAAATGATTCGTATACCGATAAGCTCCTGTAAATATATTTGTGGAGCAAAAGTTGTTTTTCATAGAAAAACTTTGGTTAGTTTTCCTTTGAATTAACCGAAAAGCTAAACTTTCGACTTGACATCAAAACGGCCATTATCACCTGTGACATGTTAAGTCGGTGACTAATATCTGGGATTTTCTTTTAACTATGGTGGTCATTTCTTTTATGGATTTTTAAGGCATGAGGATCTTTTTTTACACATCCCTCCTCTCCCCACCTCTCTCTCTCTCTTACTTTTTACCATAAGCGTGTGTAAATGAAAGTTGAACTAAGTTTTGTGGTTACTGGAGTTAGAGTTTCCTTTTTTTCATTTTTTCCTGGTATTATCTTGCCGGAATGACATTAACAGCAGGACTAACAGGAAATGTGTGTTAAAGCTACAGATAGGAGGAGTACTCGCAAAAAAAAAAAAAAACAACAAGGAAAATAAATAAATTTTGCTTGACCATCTGTGAAAATGTGAAGACAAATTATATTTTTGTTCTTTTGAATTTCAAAGTTAGCCGTTTTGTTTAAAGTTTGTTTGCTGCTCTTCCCTTCGGGATGCAATCCAAAACGAATTTCGCGTTTTAATGTCTATCCTGGTGTTTTTGTGTGTTTTTCTTTTAATGCTATTTTCTTTGGTTTCAGCTGTTATTTCCTTTATGGCATTTTGTGTTTATTACTTTTTTTTAAGATACGAAAACGTTTGCAAGTTGTTGGGGTTTTCTTGGATTTAATGCATTTTAAATTAAGAGCAGTGAAAAAAAAACATTTTTTTTGGAGGGTGGACATAAAATATTTCAAAACTTCGTTGTTTACAATATTTTCAAATGAAATCATATATTCAAATCTATTAAAATCAGTTTTTTTTTCTTCTCAAAAAAAAGTAAAACACTTTAAGTTCGGCCGGGTCAAACTTTTAATATCCTCCACCTTTAGGTAAAGAAAATATTTTTATATAAAAGTATCTGAATTCAAGCGCGTTCCACTTTAAACTACAAATACCAGTAAGGCCGTTTGGATAATGCTGTTAAACTTTTCAAAAAACCATAAAGTGGGCGAGGTCGGGGTCATACCAAAACGGGAACCTCTATAGACAATTTTGTATTTCAATTTCATCTACCAAATCTTCTTAAATACCAAATTTGAAACAATTTCGTGGGTAAATGGTGCTAGGATTATCAAAATACCGAATATCGATGAGTATCGTTAT